TTTTTTTTTTTTTTTTTTTTTTTTTTTTTTTTTTTTTGCCAGAGTTCAGAAGGGACATTCCCTTTTGGAAATTACCTACCCAGCCAGCTGGAGTTCTATTTATGACTCTGTTTCTGGGTAGGAACTCCCAAACCCCAGGGAGCAGAGACCTTAGCGTGCCACCCACTATAATTCATTGACACCAGTCCAGATGAATACTTGGCTGCTCCTAAGTGGTTCTCTTGCCTAAATTGAATGAAAGAGGTCTAGGGCTTCCAATTAAACAGGAGGCAGAAATCTCAAAGTATTAATAAGGAACAGAAGGTGAGGTAGGTTGGAATGCATCTCGAATCCTCAATTTTACCATGTGTTTTAGGAAAGACTATGTTTGCACTGGTTAGAACTACTTATTGAACAAGCTAAATATCTGCATCTTGGTTGGTTGTAAAGGGCCACAGCTCATTTCTGTTCCTCAGCTTGGGCTTGGTGAGAAAGTATACGGGAACAGCGAAACGAAAAACTATCCCTTTCCAACCTGGCAAACACAGGTTGGTCTTGAGCAAGGGTCTCTTTGTCTACTTGAGCAGAAAAAAAAAAAAGCAGATCTTTTATTCCAAAAGAAAAAGCTGCAAAGAAACCTGCCTTAGGTTTTCAATAAAATCCACAGAAGCACAGAAGTCTGCAGCTGGGAATCTGGAGAGCATCCAGCCTATTCCTCGGATCAGTGTTCCCACAAGACACTCCTCCACCATAACAGGATTCCAAGACCACACGTTTGGGTAACACTGCACTCAACTTCTTTCTTTTGGTGATCTACCAAGCATGGCATATTGGATATGGAAGTTTCTAGGAAATACAGCAAAAGGTACTTGTTTTAATCAGCGTGAACAAGTACTGGGCAAGTATGGGGTATGCCTTTGGAAACCCTGATTTAGTTCAATTTCTTGTTTTTTAGTTGGACAAAGTAAAGCCCAGAGAAGCTCAGTGGCTACTAGGATGATACAGTTTTGGTGGCAGACCCCGGAGCTCCCTGATCCCCTGCCTCACATGGTCACGGAGGCTGTGACCTTCTTCAGGGAAAGCACGGCCAAAGGGTGAGAGGAAGGGAAAGTGGCCTTCCTGCATCTGCGTGTGAAGTGCCAAGGTGCTGTGTTCTGTGGCAGCAGGTCCTGGCCTCATGGCCTTCTCCACAAAGGGAGCCTGAAGAGGGTTTTACTGCCATCACGAGAGGTCGCCTTTCCTGGCTTGCCAACTCGCTGTCATCGTGGGGTTGGGTTGCTATGTGACTTTTAACTTTGCCTTGTTTCTGGACAGTATACATTTAAGTATTCTTGTGTTCAAGCATTTAGATGCAGAAAGTCTTAGCTAATTATATTTTTATCTGACTTTACAGTGTACCGGGGATTTTAAAAAGTACCAAGCTCCCTACAGGAGTCCCTTGGTACCAGTGCACTCCTTTCCCCCCGTTTTGCTGTACTGGGGACTGAACCCAGGGCTCTGCATATGCTAGGCAAATGCTCTATCACCAAGCAACACGCTAGCCCTCTTATTTCTTTGAGAAGGAGTCTTGCCAAGTTGCTCAGACGGCCTTGCATGTGCCACTRTGCCTGGCCTGGTTGATTTTTCAATGTTATCTGTGTTTGAATACAAATTTATCAGTCCTTTGTTACCCACAGATTAAGTCACTGTTTTCAAGCATTATCACAAGAGCCACATTGTTGGGGCTCCAAAAATGACACCCCTAAGCATGGCACTTTGACATGCTAAGTTGTACAGTCCCAGAGCCAAGGTCTCAACCTCCCCCTGCCCTCATCCCTCCTAATCCTTGATCATCTTTCTCCCCAAGTTCAGGGGACATCTTTCTTGCAGTTCCCTTACCTAACAAAGTCCCTTCCCAGGAAGAACTGACTCCTGAAGCAGTGACTAAAAATCAAACATCCCATTGTACAGCCTGAAAAACTGGTGGTCACTGTCTCTTCTGGGGCTCATGCATTTCCCTAAAATCATTTACTCCCCCTTTCCCCTGTAAAGAGGGCATGTAAGCCCCAGCACTTTTCTTTCTCTCCTTTTCCTTCACTTTGTCATGACTGGGTGGGCAATGCAACCCTGAGCCGAGCGTGCAGTCCTTTGAGAGTGCCGAAGTGAGGGCTGGAATCCCACTCTCTGCAGCAGGGGAGTTCACCCGAGGACGGACAAGAGTGTCCAGCTAGAGTTCCTCTTTTCATGGAAGCTAAGTGTTGGCAGCTCACAGCTCATTACAGACAAATCTTTACTAGACATCAGAGAGAGAAGCTGGGAATAAACTTAGGTCTATTCATTAATGTGACTCAGAAATCTTGGGTACTATTTCAGGATTGGTTTTTGTATATGAAATCCAGAAATAATTTCAACCTCTCAGCGCTCCAATTTTCTCCTGAAAGAAAGGGAAGCAAAGGCATCTACTTCATACTGGAGCCAGGGGGTTTGGTTGTGACTGCTATCTCTACATCTTTGGAAAACTGCAATGTGATCTCCAGGAGATGGTTACTTCTCTTCTACATTGGGTTTTTGGAAGAGTTAAGCTGATTTCCTGTTCTCTTCATGCTACCAGGAAAAGAATCCTAAAAACTGGAATAAAAATAGAATGAATCCTTTCCAAAATAAGTTTTAGTTTGTAGAAGAAAGAGATTTGCTAAATTTTCTTACTAAGTCACTAAAAATAAACCACTCGGGGCTGGGGCTAGCAACACATGAGGCACTGGGTTTAAACCTCAGCACCACATAAAAAAATGAAATAAAGATATATAAAATAAATAAATAAACCCCTCCTGGAAACATTGTCTCACAGCCAATGGTCCCAACGCTGACAATGGGCACGGTGGGGACAACAGTCCTAGACATGCCCTTCTGATGGCCCAGGTATGAGCTGGTTGTTTTGGTGTTTGGGAGTTCCTCTTTTCAGGGAAGCTAAGTGTTTCCCCCGCCCTGCCCTGGGGTAGGGTGTTGGAGCCAGTTTTGGGCCAATTTTCCTTGCTACCTGGTAAATGTGATAAAGATGCAAAGAATATTACTTAAAGTTTATCAACTTTCATAGTAAAATAAAATGTTTTAATTATTTTACAAAATTCAAAGTGGTTAGCATTTATAACGTAACTACTACTACTACTACTACTACTACTACTATTTAAAGCATAGATTTATAATCTTACAATAATTTCAAAACAACTTACATCAGAGTTTGTTAGAGTTGACAGTGGCTTGGGTTATTCTGTTTTTCTGTTATTCTCCTAAAACCCAAGTGACCACATGTCTATATTTTTTATCTCCAAAAGGAACTAAAGGACAGTTTTGTAAATACACACACATAAAGTCTTTGCAGAGATAATTCCTAAGCCCCAGCTTCCTGCCTGTGTGTTCATAGGAAACTTGAGGGGAGAGAAAGCAGGCCCTCAAGTACTCATTAGTAATAACAATTAGCAATTATGTTAGCACTATAGAGATGAACTGCTTAAAACCAGGCTTTATTAAGTTTCCTAAGTAACAAAGAAGGTGTCCATATAATTAGCACCTTTGGTATGTTTTAGGGCTATACATATGCATTATTAATAGGGCCCTCTTTAAAAAAACAAGCAAAACCAAAAATAAACTCAAATCAATTCATCAAGAGCACAAACCAGTCTCTGACCTTGCAAAGTGGGCAAAACAATGATAGGGATCTCAGGGTCTTGAGTCATAGGTGGGAGTTGCCTCAGGACCTCTGAAGCAACTGGAGGGTGGCCAGGTCATACCAGTGGAGCCAGGTGATGTCTTCTCAAAGGACTCAAGACCCATATCTGAATTCTGCACACAAGTAGAAGTTTTTTTGATCTGCAAAATTTTATTAAGCAATAGCTGGACAACTCTTACAGTTTCAAATCATCAAGGAAAAAAAATAAGGAGATTAATCCATCTCAGTAATAAAGGCAGAAAATAATTTGGACAAACCACATCATTTCGAATGCAAACCATTAATGCCTTCTAGAATACCTCCTGCACAATCTAATACACAAAAATACATACATAGAGAGGTGAATAAGAGGAGCTCACTGAAATGCAATCGGGAAACTCAACAGATTTTGCCTGGAAAGTAAAACAAAGCAGGATGCTGAAGTAAAAACAAACGACACTAGAGGAACCGAGGTGCACAAAGCAGTGCACGCCCTTCCCAAGGTCTGAGAGAACATGCTGGTGGTCTTATGTGGTCTGGGACCTGTGTGCCTCATCACACACTTACAGGGTCGGGGGAAGGAAGAAAAAGAAAATGCCAGTAGTAATAAACTCAGAAGTGATGTTCAAATTTACAGTACCAAAATAATGCATTTATAAACAAATGCAAAAACAATACCCCTTTGGTAAATAATACAGTGCCTTTTTCACTCAAATGCATAACCCATGCTTTTTTACAACATGAAAAAAAATTTATCTACAATAAACGAGATCTTAGAATCCTACCCCCCCTTAAAAAGAACTTGTAAACAGAAAGTATAGGTACAAGTAAAATTACAAGAAAATTGCACAAAGTCAAAGAAAGGGAAACAAAATAAGCCACAACCTTTCAGAGTTTATCAGCCAGAGAAAAGAAAATACCCAAATGGCGCCACGTTCTGAGTCGTGTGTTCATACAGACTCCCAGGACCCAAACAACACTTCAGACACGGTTTGTCTCGGCCAACTTTGTCCACAACCACAGACTTGGCCACATGATCTGCAGCCCACACACGGGTTCCTTTTTCACAGGTCCCTTTTTGATAAACCTTTGGATTAGAAGGTGGTGCAGCGCTGGGAGCACAGGAGCACACTAAAGGATGGGATCCGCCTGGATTCCTACTCCTCTCTTCTTCCTGAACACACTCTCAGTCAGTTATGGGGGAAAGTGGTGACTTATCTTAGGGCTATTTTCAAGGGCGCCCACTGATTAGGGCACACTCTGGGGATTCCTCCGACTTGCCTGGAATCAGTGCTTTTGTGTAATTTTATGAGATCAAGCATGTTTTGAAACGTATTTAGAGGTGAACTTTCTAAAGATATTCTGTTAAATGCACTGGTTTATATTCAGCAGACAGCTCACAGACTCAGGAAAGGAAACACTTCTCCACAAAAAGGCAATGTTTTGAAACACACTTTCCACGCTTGTCAAGTGGGAAGATGAAGCTGCTCAGTTCTGAGCTCTCCGGCTGCCGGGGGAGTGTGGATGATAGTCCAGGCGCCTCTTCCATTTTCCAGATGGACAAAGCTGGATCTGGCAGCCCCAGACTTGCCCAAGGTCACCCTCCAACCTTATGACAGATCAAGCTTGACCCTGGGGCCTCCTGACCTTCTGTTCTGATTTCAGAGTGAACCTTAGATGTTTCTGCATGTCCTTGTGGACACCTAACAGTGGAGCGAGGCGGCTACAGATGAAAAACACCAACCTGCAAAAGCCTTTCATTTACACACCATTAGAGTCTTGAGAGCTTCCTCCTTCTTTGGCCCCAATTTTTCCCAGGTTAAACATTCAATGGTATACACATCCACGGCCTTTGGTTTGATGAGGTTAAGAGCTAAACAAATTTAAAATTGGTTTTTATGTTTGTTAATATACAGATTCCCTCAAAAAGACCTCATGTAGTTTACTTTATATTTCACTAATATTTTTAAATTCAGTAAGGTATCTTGACATTCATAAACTGCTACTAATAAGCACAAAGTACCTGGAATTCTGCTGCTTAAAYTCCTCATATTGGTGGCATTTAACCTCTACGATGAAGTCAGACACCATCACGGCACCACGGCTGCAGCCAGCAGCTTCCACCTCCCTGGGCAGGAGACCCTGCTTCTCATGCCCCTGCAGACTCAGGCGAGCAGCCATCCCTGATGCACCCATCTGTGGCTCCTTGGGGGGAAAATGGCTTTCGGGGAGTCATTTGTTCTTATTAAGAAAAGTCCTAAAATGTACCCCTGTGTGGCTTTTGCATCTCAAAAACCAATCAGAACTGAAAGAACTAAAACTTATTTCTTAAGAATTTCACTAATGGGTCTCTCCATTTCCTATAATCCTTTATTACAAATTGAAAATTTAAAATTCTCAAAATAAGGGGAATTAGGGCATAACTGTCTCAAAGAAATGGTCTCTTGTATATAATCAATACCACAGAATTTTAAAAAAGGATCACTTCTAAAGGATTAATAGGAACTTTTCCCAATTAGAAAGTTACAAATTACCCAGCAAAACATCTTCTATTATATCCTCTTTATTTCTTATGGTAAAGTATACTACCACCAAATGAATCATTACAAAGATACTATTTTTCTAAATAAATAATAAAATGGGCATAACTCACCAATACATAGTAACAAAATAATTCCTAGGAATACTATGAAAAGCAAGGTAATAATTATCTCTTGGACAACAGAACAGGGAGATTGTATTTAAATTACTTCAGAAACAGGTGATAACAATTATTGCACAACTAATAAGAAGCACTGAAACACCATATCAAGCTCCAGGAACTCATATATAATAAGAATTAGATAAATCAAAATTTACCTATCAAACAGTTGGGTCTAATATTTTAATCTCTAACATGGGAAACTCCAGTATTACCTGGGAGATGTCCTTCTCGTTAAAAACCTTGTTGGCATTTCTTTGGACTTAAGAGTGATGAGTGATATCTCCTCACTCTACAAAAGGAATGGGCCAGTTTCTTTTTCTAATTTTAAATCCAAATAGGGAATTAATTTTTTTTTAAATTTGAAAATACTTTTCTGTAGCATCTTCCATTTTTCTGTTTTTAAATAAAATCCATATTTAGGAGTTAAAATCAATAGACAGTTCTTGTACTTTGGCCATAAACATCACCACAGGAATGAACACCAAACCACCATCAAAAAATGGACCGGACCTTGTGACAGACTGGGATACTGCGGAAGGGGGAGAGGCAGGCAAAGAGACTTGAGGCGGATTTTTTTCCCCCCATTAACAAAGAAGTAGAGAACCCACTCCCTAAAGTAAGATCGATAATTTTAACAATGCTTTTTTTCCCCAGTGGTTTATTACCTTAGTAAACAATCTATACAATTAATAAACAGCTTTTTGTTTCTTTAGAGAAGATCCTAACTTTTGTCAAAGATTTGACTATGCTCCTAACTTTTAAAACCCTGGCAAATGCTGAAAATATTGTGTTTATAATTTCTATTTTGATGGAAACATTTCTAGTTAATTGAATTTTAACATAGCCAAGAGGAAGAAAGGAGTGGTTTCAACTCAAGCCTCATCCACAGTTTTAGGAAGAGAAAGGATAGAGCAATAATATTGGAAGGGAAAAAATCATGTTTACAGTAATGGGTTCCAGGTTCAAAAACAAAAGGCAGAGGGAGGTCAATGGCTGTTTCTCAGGAAGTGGATCTAGTGACTGACCACCACACCATCTTGGAAAACTCCTTGCCCTACCCCGGGCCAGGATCTTTCCCCTGCTGCCTCCTACCTTCTCCTGAAGTCAACCTCAATGATGATCATCATTGGTCCCACAGAACTCTTGACACAGGATGAGACTAGTGGAGTCTCCCAACGTAAACATCCTTGGAAGAGGAGCTCAGCCCTTGCACAGGTCACACTCCTGAGTCACTCAGGTGTCTGCAAAGCATTGTGAGCCTGTCCAACATGCAGTTTCTTCCTCACCCATCATGCTTTCCCTGACATGACTCATGACCAAACTGCAGTTAAGCAGTGACAGCACCCCCATACAGAGCCTGCTTTCATTAGTCAACAGAGTTCATTTGCCCAAATGCCTTTATTCCTCAAGTCACCTTTTAGGGAGTGGCACAATACAAATAAATTAAAAGCTGTCCCCATTCCCCCAGGAGAACCTGAATCTGCAGGATTTTTGGTTGTGATCTTTAAAAAAGTTTTTGTTTTGCACTAGTGGTAATGTTGGAGGAGTAAAGGCCAAAAGTTGTGGAGAATGAACCTAATGCATATTCCCTATGTCTGAAAGAAAGGCAGGCTAGCAGGTGGTCTGTCTTCTCTCCAAGGCCCTTGTCCCAGGCACTGAGAAGCAGATCCAGGAGAACATTCAACAGCCAGGCTGTCCCTCCTGAAAGAACACCAGGCCCCTTGCACTCTTTGCTTCCAAATGTCACAGGACTGAAAGAAAAGAAAGACAGTAAAGGACAACCAAATATGCGCAATGCCTGAGGGCTCGCGCCCCTCTGGCCTGAGGGCTCTTCCTGCCCAGCTGACATCTCTCYGGTCTTTCTGGCACCAGCAGTGCAGGCTCCTCCTCCCAGGGCTCCCTGCTGTCTTCTCTCCACACCAATCTCTTCATTTGAGGCGCTGAGTCACGTTGGCCAGGGCCACTGCGAAGGCCTGCACAGCTGAGAAGGGGTACTGGAAGTCCAGAATGTATGCATTGCCGTCAATCCGTCCAAACTGCATCACCTGGGGGGAGGGGTGGCAGGGAAGCAAAGACACGAAAGGAAACAAGGTGGGAAAGAGGCCACCAGGTCTGCTGGCTCCTGATGGAAGCAGACAGCACAGTCCGTGAGTAGTTCTTCAGGAAGAAGGTAATATATGAAACCAAAAATTGAAATATCAACAAATAGAAGCATGTTCTTTGCAAATACGATGGCAAATACTAGGAAAAACCCAACCACTAGGAAACACCTGCCTCAGGGGGAAAAGGTGCCATTAGGTGGGTATGGTGGAGAAGGATCTCGTTTTCCTTACAAATCTCTTGGAATCATTTGACTAATACTTAGTACACGCATTACTTGGATTAAAAATACATAAGATAGCAGTGGGCATACTCAGAATCCTAATCCTAATGGCTCCACCTAAGAGACATAATTTGTTTCCTCCCATCCTGCTTGGCTTCTTTTTATGGTCCTGGGTATTGAACCCAGATCCTTGCCTATGCTAGACAAGAGATCTTTTGACTGAGCTATGCCCCCCAAACCCTTATTTTGAGACAGGGTCTCCCTAAGTTGCCCAAGCTGGCCTTGAACTTGTGATCCTTCTGCCTCGGTCTCCTGAGTAGCTGGGATTACAGGTGCATGTCACCATGCCTGGCTCTCACTCGGCCTTTTTAAGTTTTCCTGGAAGGCCAAAGCACTGATATCCTTCACTTAGTGGCCACAGCCCTGCAACTTTCTTACCTGGCGCCCCTCCAACTCGATCTGGAAGTTCTTGGCCGACTCCTGGGTCACCCGCCCTCCAAAGTCCAGCTGGTACACCTGTGTAGCCTCGTTCCACAGAGGTTGCTTGTTGGCCATCACGTACACAAATCCCTGGCTGCCCAGACGCCCATCCTCCTTCTCACTGGCTTTKCGGCACTTGAACTCCTCCAGCTCACTGGCTGTGCGCAGACTCCTCTTGCTTTTCCACCCCTTCTTGCTGCCCTGGCTTTGGTTCATCAGCTCGTCCCCACTGATGAACAGCTCGGGCTCACTCTCTGAGCTGTCCTGGAACTCGTTGGTTTTGTTCAACTTCTTTGACTTCAGCTGGTCTTTCTGACTCTTCACTTTCTTCTTTTCTCTCCCTAGGCGAGGACTGGAGATGAGCGAGTTAAAGTCACTCAGAGTCCTAGCCTCCTTCTTCACTTTACCCTCAGTGATGGCCTGAACACTTCCTTCCTCTGCTCGGCTGTCCAGTCGCTTCCGGTTCTTCTTTCCAAATTTTTCAGTCCGTTGGGGAACAGGGCTTTCTGTCAGGGAGAGGACTTCTTGGAAGTTGTCTGCGGTCTCTACCATCACCTCTGTACCCATGTGGCTTTGGAGGTCAGGTGGTGGTGGGGACACGAGGGGCTTCTCCACCACCACGTGGGGCTTGGGGGGAAGAGTGCCCTGGGGGTTCTGCACGGGTGGGCAGGTGCTATAGGAACTCCATGGGTGCAAGGCGATAGGTGGCAGCTGTAAACTGGAGCACGTGCTGCTTCCTGGGTACATGGGGGGCAAGGTGCAGTACGAGAGGCTGGGTGGGTGCGCTGGCTGCAGGACAACGGCAGACTCCTGTGGTGCAAACTGTGTTGGGGACAGGGCATCTTTGGGGGAGCAGGGAGCCTGCACTCCAGGCAAAGGGGTGTTATAGCTTCCTGGATATGGAACTCCCATTCCATAGCCTGTCTGGAAAGTGGCAGTAGGGCTGGCAGGAGACTTGGGGGAGACAAAGGGTACTCGGGTCACATCCAGGTGCTGGCTCTGCCCTAACATCAAAGGGGGCAGTTTTAAGGGGTTGGGCACCGAAGTCTGTGCTGTCCTTTCCTGGGGGACCCAAACATCCTCACCCAGCACAGGGTCCCACTGATAAGGGGGGGGCCGCTTCACAGTGACAGCAGCTTCGGGCAGTGGGGGGTGCCTAGGGGCCTTCTCAAGCTGACAGTGCTGGGACAGGGCCTCGTCCTCTGTGAAGGCTGAGTTCACGTAGTCAGTGCGGTCGCGGGCACTGTCGGGCGGGCTGAGGAGGCTGTAAGAGGACTGGGAGGCCAACGGGGAGGTGCTGACAGCATGGGCCAGAATGGTGCCTGACTGTGCGCTGGGCCCCGCGCCACTGCACTGGCTACAGGTGTACAAGGCTGGCGGGGGCCGCGCAGGGAGTTGTGCCACTGCTCCCCCAGGGCCACCCTTGGGCTTGGCCAGGGGCTGCAGTGGGGCTCGGGAGCTATCAGCCAGCTGGGCCATCTTGAGTGCAACCTCACGGTTGTTCCTCCGCAGGGTGGCATGGATGAGGCTGTTATCCAGTCTCTGGGCAGCACTCCGCCCCTGGGCCAGCTGGCTAGCAATTTCGGGATATGGGGGTGGGTCCCCTGTGGGTATGGAGTAGCGAGGGACTGTCAGGCGGTTTAGGGTGGCACTGGTGCAGGGCTGGGAGACCTTCTTCTCAGTGGCGGTGAGCCTCAAGGTAGCTGAGCTGCCTGGGCCGGGGAGGGTGTAGGTGTTCTGGGAGCAGAGCATCCGAGTGCGAGGCCGGCACACCTCCTCCACGTTGCCGCTGCTGTCGAAGGTAGTGATCCTCTCGTAGCCCAGTGGGGGCTGGTAATGTACTGATGTAGGGTAGAGAGAGAAGTCTCCTTTCTTTAAGCACACATCCACTGGGGCCTGTGGAGGTGGCAGAGGGGGTGGGGGTGCCGCTGTGGTGGGGGCAGCAGGAATGGTTCCTGGGTAGGGGGGTGGGGGATTCATCTTCGTCACCTGGATCTCCTGGGGGGCACTGAAGACCACTGTATCCCCCTCTGCTGCCAGCTGAGGCACCGGCCGCAGGGCCTTGGTGGACTTCTGTAGGTGTTCATGGTCTCGGTCTCCGTGGTCCACCACAGACAGCTGCATGGCCCCCTGTGGTGGCGGCGGCGGTGGCGGTAAGGGCAACTGAGGAGGGTTCTGAATGATGCGGCCCATTTCCACACCTCCAAAAATCACCTGTCCAGGGTTGGAGTACCGGTTGGAGACTGGGTATTGGGTGGCACTGTCAACTGCATGTTCTGCTGCCCCCACCACTGTAGTTTGATTGGTCAGGATGTCCAGCTGCACATTCTGATTGGCCAGCAGAGACTGTACCAGGCCAATGCTCTGTGTGGGGGACATAGCTTGAGCTGAGCTGTGAATTGGTGCAATAGGGATATTCACGGTACAAGGTGGGTTGTTCTCAGGGACACCAGATGCTCCTGTCACTGAAAGGAAACTGGAATAAGAACTGCTTGCAAAAGAGTGTTGTGAAATAGGGTCAGAATAAGCAATACATCTGGACTTATCTCACCCTTAGCATGTAAAAGGCAAATGCTAGAGAATGAGCTGTGTTTGCTTAGAGAGAGGGCGACTGTTCCCCAAACTACTCTGTTTCTGGAAGGGCACACAGCAGCCTGACTGTGACTGTGGGTTAAGGGCATTGCCAGAGCTTTTCAATGAACAAAGATGGAACCTTCTGCATTTGGTACCAGGTGCCCGAATGATGCCATTACAAATAACTACAGTTAAAGAAACTTGAGGGCAGTTATGAAGTGTGGAACTCTACTGGGGACTTCCAACCTATCCATAATTGTGGATTGGTTAGAGTGGGAAGTGTTTCCAACAGATACACATCTGAAATTTGTACACAAATTAAGATTCTGTAAGTAGAATCACCTAAAATGTAGAAAAACCAATAAAGAATCTGCTAGCAAATGTGCATATTGAGTGAAGAATAATTTCACGGATTAGGCAGCCCTAATTAAATGCTCTTTGGCATTTCAGACACTACRGAAGGTAGAGCTACTGAACAAAACCCTATCAACACTCCCTATTGCACACAGTGGGGATTTCATGGAGCGTGCGTGTGAATCACAATGGCAGGCAGCTGCTCAGAGCTGCTGTCTGTGCCCATGTCGGAAGTGCACCCTGGCAGTTGAACTCTTAGAAGCCTAATGAGCCACTGTGGCTCCTGTTCAGAGAACACTTCCATTGACTCAGAAACCCGAAGGATGGGGCTAACTGCCACGTGGCAACCAGTCCCTGGGCAGGAAACAGATCTAATAGGCTTGTGGTACAGGCTGGTTGACATCACACCAGAACTCCAGAAAGCAGCCAACTGGCTTATCAAGAGTTGAGCCCACCCTTGGGGCCTGTAACTAAGGTCTCTAGTAAGATACAACCATCCTCTGGCTGCACAAACCTGGTTCCATTTCAAGTTTCCTATCATTACTGTGCAGATCTCTCTTCCAGATGTTCTCTGGTCTGCAGGGTATAGTGAAAACAGGCATCTTCCCCTCCAAAGGGAAGAGTCTCTTTACTGAGTCACTGTCAGTGAATGGAAGCCCTCAGTAAACCCGCCTCTCTCCCTGGGAGCCACAAACAGCAACAACAACTGCAGCAGCAATATAGCACTGGAGGGAGCTATTTGGGGAGATAAGGGAGACCATTAAGGGTAAAGTGTAAAAGACACTAAGCATAAAAGTCCCTAAGAGAGGAACCACAACAGACCAGTCACATGTGTGAACACACCTGGTAAATCATCTTCATCTTCACTGAAAACATTTGGGTTGAAGACAGGTAAGTTAATATAGTCCATGGAAATCTTCCGAACTTCTGGGAGATAGATAGTCATCTGCCGTGGCTGGAGATGCAGCAGGCTGGTTTTATAGATCACTGTGAGGATGAAGAAGGACACATGAACAGAGGTACGTCAGAGGAGAGCCAAAGCACCAGTGGAGTAGTGGGAAGAGAAAAGGAGGGCTGCGGCTCTCTGCCATCAGAAGACAGCTCTACATGTAGGGCCACGAACCCAAGGAGCTCCTTGTCCCTGTGCACCTCTATGCAAGGCTGGTGCTCAGGCTGATGGCTAAGGGACTCATGTGTTCACCTCTCCTGCCCACCAAAGAAAAAGAATATAAATTTTGGTGAAATCATTATGTATGGTTCTATATAACTTAAGAGTTAATGCATTAAAGTGCTATTCTTTGTTGTCCAGATTGACACATAGGGAAAAAAAATGTGAGGAGGGATTAGGAAGGCAACATCAGCTGCCTTCAGGAAGAAAACTAGGTGCCTTTGATTTTTACTGTATATTCCTCTTAATCTATTGAATTCTGAATCTCTTATGAATTTTTAAAATCAAGAAATGCTAAAAAAATTTTCACCGGTTAGGCAGTCCTAATTGAAGGAAATAAAATATCCAATACAGTGAACTACACTCACTTTTTAAGTTCACAATATACAGTCTTTGAAAATATTTAATGGGACACCCTATATATATTATGCCTTCCAGAATCTAAGAGTTAATATCTTTTCTCCAAGAGAATCATGTGGAAAATTTTTGTAGCTTGATAACAGTAACATATAGACCCAAGTGCTCTTTTTAAAAAGGTTAACGATTTGAACAATGATTCCAATGCTTTTGTCTTAGGGCACCCAGATGACTGGCAGCAGGCAGCATCTGCTTCTTCAAGGACTCTCACAGGCTCATTTGTGGATCTACTCATCATACAAGAAATAAGGGTAGAATGAGAAGATCCCTTAAGTGGAGTCTGACTTCCATTCCTTTTTTCAATATTTACTATAGGCAGATGGCTGAGTTGTCAGCTTACTGATGTGGGGATAATAATGATATTCAAACAGTGGTTATTAAAAATCAACCATCTCCATCAACAGGGCACTGATGCACAGCTGCACAGACTTTTGTGGTCCTCAGAGAACTTCTAGGTTGCTGAAAATATGCTTTCTTTGCATCATGTACAGGGGTGGTGTGTTGTTATCTCCTCACTTTTATGTTTTACTTTTATTCATCTTTTTTCTTTGAAGCTAAGAAACCCTAAAATGAAAAAATCCAAATGCAATGCTCTTGAATAAATCTCTGAAGATGCATGCAGAGCAAAAGATCTTTTTTTAATATCTGATTTGCAAGAATTATTTATATTAAAGGATGAAAACAACCTTACAGATTTTAAATTTTTCAAAAACCATTTTTAGTAGGTGACATAGCACATCTGAGATGTAGCCACAGGCCTRTCTGACTGAGCTGGCCTGGCAGAGACGTGTATATGGGAAACGAGATGGCAATGAGGAAGACAGGGATGGGCCACAGCCTCTCAACCAAACGGGGAACCACCCAGCAGAAAGAAGGTACTTTTAAAGAATCTGCCATTTTCCTTTCTTCTTTGTCTCTGATGTCAGTCTCACAAGGGAGCACTCCTCAACTGGGCAGGATGCAGATGAGAACCAAGGTCTGCATTCTGGCCCAGTTTCAGTCCCCTTAGTTTGGTTTTCCTCTGTGTCTCAAACTTGTCATGGGTGGGGCATTTATCTGGTACTGAAAAATGAAATTATACATATTTACCACTAAGAGCAGTCAGCCAACTTCTTAAATGCCTTAAAACTATTTTCCTCCATTTTGTTCAGATGTTTCTTGTAATTCAAGAAGCTGGACTCTGGTCCCACGTGCCCACATAAACCAAAATAGCTAAACATCTTTGAGAGCTTTGACAGAGTTTTGTATTTCTCTTATTTATTTATTTTTTTAAATTCAGGAATTAATTTTTTAAAAAAAGTGTCAGTAGCAAAAGTGATCTGAAAAATTAATTCAAATTTTTCTGAAATCATAGTGGCTGGAGTGAAGGTTTGGCAGAACGCACAGGCTAATCTGATGCTGTCTTAGGAGCTCATTTTCCACTTCAGGCTGCCAAAGGTTGAAACTGAATCTTTTAGTCTGATTTCAAATGGGGCAGTGGAATAACAGAATAAGATTTTTTTTTTTTTTTTTTTTACCTGCACCGAGGTTGGTTGGCAGGAAAGCAGCCAAACCCACAATCTTAAATTTGGTTCCCCAGATATTGGACGTGACCTGAGCAAGATAATTGTGCTGTGAGGGAAAAAAGGAAAAGAAAAAGTCAGAATATCAGTCTACTTCCATGTTTTTTATTAGTCCCTGTAAGAATTTTCATACTTATTGCACACCATCAATCATTCCTGCCATCCTTCTGTCATTTTTAAGACCAGGTGTTAACTAGAACAGGCCAGGCTCCCATTTCCTAATGGCCGTGCGCAGAGCAAGAGTGACGGTGGTTCTGTCCTAGCATGTCCACGWGTGCAGTTTAAAAAGTCATCAAAGCTGGAGTATGGGGGCATGTACCCGTAATCCCAGCTACTCAGGAGGCTGAGGCAGGCAGATCACTTGAGCCCAGGAATGTAAGACAAGCCTTGGTGACTCAGAGCAAACCTGTCTCAAAATAATTTAAATCAATAAATAGTCCACCAAAGTGGTTTGGGCACAGTTTTCTTTGCCCCTGCTTTCCCCCAATCACTGGTCTAAAAAAGGAAACCAACTCTGAATCCACTGTTCTCCTTGGAAATTCTCGTGGAAACTCTTTGTGTTTCCAGCAGGCTGAGTGGAGGCAAAGGAGGCAGGGGAGTCAGGTACRGCTGGACAAGGGGCCATGGCTGGGGTTCTTGCTGAAGACAATGGCGAGTCACTCTAGGACAAGAATTGGCTTGAAGGGGCACAGGTAGAAAAGTGGATGTGCCTCGGTCAGAGTGCCACTGGAGGAAGTTTCTAAAGGCAGAGAGGCAAATGGAATAGAACCAGGCACCTGAATGCAGGTGGTAGAGAGCAGGGAAGGCAGGTAGGGGAAGGATGATGGAGTGTCCAAGTGGCTGGAGGGTTCAGCCATGTGTTACTACCTGAGTGATGTCTTCAAAAGGAAACTCTCTCCGAGTCAGGCTGGGTGAGCCGATGGAAGGCTTTCGCATAGGCAACCTTGGAGATCGGGAGATCTCCTGAGCAGCCCGGGGCAGCTTGGGAGACTTCCGGGCCTCAATGCTGATCCTGTGGAGACAAAGTGAGAGGGGTCAGGCATGCACAGAGGGGTAAGGCCAATATTTCTTCCCTTCCAAGGTCAGCCGTGGACATCAGTTCTCTGTGGCCAAGGTCCTATTTTCACAAAGCTCTTACTCCTGCTGTGGCTTTAGGAATATGAGGAAAGAATGAATTGTGTATTGAATAATAAATACAACATCTGAAAATATGTTGAAATTAGATCAAGATTTTTTTCCTCCCATTTCTCTGTATGGGGGATTGAACCCAGGGCCTTGTACCTGGTAGGCAAGTGTTCTACCCCCAGCCCCCAATTGAGTCATTTGAAAGGAACTTCATTTGTAAGGGAACTGTCTTTCACTTTCTGCCCACTTAAGAGTAAGTTTGGAAATGTTCACATGACTTCTGCCAGGGGTGTGTACAATCAGTCCTGGGGAAAATGCAAGAAGGGAAGTCCTCTCTCACTCTGAGGCCACTATGATTTTTTAAAATTACTTCCACGACAGTTTGAATTTTAACAGATTCATCTAACACTTTACCACCTGCAATAGTTATATCAGATCATCGAATCTAATACTTTTCTGCTGAATTCTGACACCAGATTCTAGCTCTGCTCGGTTCTTTATATTTTCTTTCTTTATACACTGAGGTGCACATGTTCAATGCCAGTCTACCCCAAAGAGAGGGTTACAAATGAATATAACAAGGTTTCTAACATCCTATAAATATGTGTTGAACCTCATACATAATGCTTGCGAGCTTGTTGAGAAACTTCAGGCTCCTGAGGAATAGGAGAATTGGGGATCAAGTTAATGAAAGCTGTGAGCCAGGGCTATCAGTCTGGATGCTGTGTGGAGGGGTTCCAGGCAGGAAGAGGAGGAGGAAGGGACCAGGCAAGAGGTGGCAGCCTTAAATGGACATCTACATGCCAAGGGTTTAGTTTCTTATATATAGTAAATGCCCTCTGCTCAATGAACTAATTGCTTCAGAGCTAGGCATTTGGGTATGTTTACATCTAATGGAAAAAGTCAAGCACTGTGGCAGCACTAGAAGGTTCAAAATTTATGTGTAATTTTAACAAACTTTAGAATAAAGATGAAAAAAAATCAGATTGCTGGACTAACTGATATCYATATGGGAAAATGAACTTTTACCTCTAATTCACACCGCACACAAAAATTAACTAGATGTAAAGTTGATCTGAGATACAAACTCTCGAGCTGCTAGAAGAGAACAGAAGACCATCTTCTCAGCCTTAGGGTAGACCAAGATTTTAAAATAGGACACAAAATGCACTAACCATAAAAGGATTTCACATGCTGGACTATTTGTTAAGTATACACATTACTAAAGATCCATTGCTAGAATATACAAATAACTTTTGCAAATCAGTAAGAGAAAAACAACCCAATAAAAAATGGGCAAAAGGAGGTAGATAGCCAGGTGGGCTGATCCGCATATGAAAAGGTACTCAGCCACTTAACTGGTCAGAGAAACTAGACCTAAACCATAATGCAATATCATCACTATATACCCAGAAGAATGGGCAAAATTATTTTGAGCAATGACAATGGAGCTATAGGTGAGAATGGACGCAGGTAGAGCTCTCATGTGCTGCTGCTGGGAACTGAACTTGCTGCAGCCAGTTTGGAATAATGTGTGGCAATTTTCAGAAAGTTTAACAATGATCTAACTCATGACTCTGCCCCTCCCTTCTTAAGTGTACACCCAAGAGAAATGAGTGCATGTATTCAAAAAAGAATGTTTATATGGATTTATTCACAGTAGTCCTAAACTACTAAATATCCATGGAAATACAATAAACACACAGAAGTATATTTGCAATAGTGGAATAATTCCACAGAGCAATAAAGAAAGACAAACTACTGATACATGCAATAACACAGATAAATCTCGAAATCACGTTAAGCAAAAATCCACATATTGTTTGATGCAACATATATGAAGTTCTAGAACAAGTAAAAATAATCTATCATGACAGAAGTCACATAAAATGAAAGAGACACGTGGGATTCTCCCTGATGATGAGCATGTTCTTTATCTTGAACCGAGTGGGGACACACTGGTATATCAACTGCCCAATGAACTAGTTGCTTCAGAGCTGGGCATTTGGGAATGTTTATATCTGTATGTAAATTTATTAAACACCTTAATTTTGCATAGCATCATGGAGCTGTAAAGCTAGTGAGGATCTTGGCAAGGATCTGGTCCATCCATTATCATCCATAGATAAGGAAGCTCTTATCTCTATCCAAGGTCATACTGCCTACAATGCTGGCAGCAGAGAAGGCAGGCAGTACTCTCTAAGACAATGCAGGCCTGTCCATTTACTCTTAGTTTTCTGTCTTCAGACAAACCCTAGGAACTATTCTTTTTTAAATTTACTATTATTTTCTCAATTACAGCATTGTAGGCACTTAATTTGGTGTTCTCAACATGCTGCACCCACTGTAAAACCTTTTTCTTCCTTTTCTTAAATTGTAAGAAAAAACAAATAAACCTGAGAACTATGACCAGCCCTATGTCACCCACCATTGCTACTAACCCCTGGAGATATTCTGAGGCTTGGGTAAACTTCCCACCAAGTATCTTTTCTATCCTTAAGAAAAACAACAAAAAAAAAAGCTGTAATTATTCCAAGTATAGTCTCCCAGAAGAAAAAGGGATGAGGGGGGAAAAAAAAGGTTGATCTTGACGTACAACTGTCAGCTTTTTCCTTCCTTTCTTTTTCTTTTTTTTTAAATATTTATTTTTTAGAAGTAGTTGAACACAATAACTTTATTTTATTACTTTTTATGTGATGCTGAGGAGCAAACTCAGGTCCTCGCATGTGCTAGACGAGCGCTCTACCTCTGAGCCACAACCCCAGCCCGTCTTCCTTTTTTTTAACATAACAAAGTTTATTTATTTTTTTAAAATTTATTTTTTAGTTGTAGATGGACACAATATCTTTATTTATTTTTATGTGGTGCTGAGGATTGAACCCAGTGCCTCACATGTGTGAGGCAAGTATTCTACCACTGAGCTATAGCCCCAGCCCTAAAAAAGTTTATTTGAGCAAAAAATGTTCTTGAACTGGGCAGCATTCTGGATCAAAGATGGTTCAGAATATGCCCCTAGTGTCAGATTCAATGGGACTCATTTGCTAGCACAAACACATTTCTGTCCAGAGCTTAAAAAAAAAGGCGTGGGGGGCGGGGGGGGCACCATGAAGACTGAGATTACCTTGGGAGTTTGGGTGACTTGCTAGCTCTGGAAATCTTGGGAGATTTCTTGGCAGCCCAGTCGTCACTCAGCTCAATGTCACTGGAGTCCGAGCAATTGCAGCTGTCAATCACAGTAGAAATCAAGCTGTTTCCATAGATCTCATCTGCAAGATACCAATTTAAGGGAAGCTAAATCAATTAGACTTTAACAATGATCCCTGCATCAACCAGGGGATAGACTGGCAGATACAGACCAACAGGAGCCTTCCTAGGTCGTAAGCAGGTTCCCAGGGAGGCAGTCAGGGAGCTTTCGCTTGGCATGGGTTTCTGAGCTGGCTCGAAGTCCCAACAAGCCAGGTGGTTCTCCATGTGTCATGAGGCACAACAGCGAAGCCATTTTGTTTCCAACTTTCAGTTCAGTGAACAGTGCCAGACTATTTTGTATATTCCTTGGGGCATTAAAATACCATGTCATTTTGACAATGGCAGAAAAAAAAATTTCCTAATTCTGCTTAGAAAATAGCATAAAAATGTCAAAGGAAAAAATACTAAGCTCCTTTCTATTTCAGCCTTTAAACCTAAAGTAATGGCCTGGAGAGTCAGTCAGTCCTAATCCAACAGAATTAGGACCTTATAAAAAGAGAAAGAGCAAGGTCTCTTTTTAATGCACAAGGACCAAGGACAGGCTGTGTGAACACACAGAGAATTCTGGCAGCTGTCCAAAAAGCAGGAAGAGCTCTCCCTGGAACTACCTGTGACAACACCCTGATCTTGGGACTTCTCACCCTCCATAATTGTGTGAACCAATTCTGCTAATAAATCACATACACACAGAGGATGAATTTTGTTTCTCWAAAGAACCCTGATTAATCCTGATTTTGGTATTGGGAAGTGAGTGCTGCCGTAGTGAATAGTGGAATAAACGAAAGAAGCTTTGCAACTCGTAATGGGTAGAGGCTGGAAGGTTTTGAGGCGCAGCAGAAACACAAATATAAAGGGCAGTTCTGACAGTTTGGGACTCAATGCTTATAACCTCATTTAACTTTAATTATCCCCTAAAAGTCCTATCAAATACACTCACACTGGAGGTTAGAACTTCACATGTGAATTTGGGGGAGAGTGCACACAGTTCGGTCCATAGCAAGTTCTGATAAAGATTCCTTTTGAAAAATCTGTGAATTTTCACTAAAAAATATACTTGGAGAACATTTACAACAATAGATCACAAACTTCAGTGCATAAAAATCACTGAGAACCCACAGTGAGCAGGAACTTATATTAAATAAGTCTCCCTGGTGGTCTGCATGGAGATGGCCCATGGACAACATTTTGAGAAACAATGATGCATAGGCTTGGAAGAGTTAATTTGCTTCTCAAGAAGAAAAATTCTTGGCTTTTCAAAGTCAGGAATCATTTCCTTCTCTGAGCTAATTTATATATACCATTCAGTTGGCAATTAGTCACATTGTGCCTTGTAACACAGCTTCTATTTTTGTCATGAGGTATTTAAATCTTGATTTCTTTACTGAACTTTTCAAGTGTTTGTCTTGTCTCGCAGAAGGGTTTACAAACTCCTTAAAAACAGAGATAATCCTGGGCCTTCTCCGTTATCTAGGAGACTAAAGGACCTCATACAAAATAGGCACTGTTGACTGGTTTGCTAAACAACTTATAATTCTTTAATTATAAAAATAAAACATGGCAATCCCCAAAGGATTGTTAGCAATTGGTCAGTCTCTTTGGTATGAGCTGACAAATGTCAGCACTAGGGGAAAGCAGGCCTTTGGGTAATGAAGTCAGGCTTTAAGCAAGTCTGGCCTTAGGAGGCTGCAGCCTTGGTGCCCACATACCCCCTCCTGTCCCCTCTGTAGTGGGAAGACAGTTCTTCAGGAGTACCCTATGATTTCAGCATAGGTTTTATGGAGTCCCATCCAGAGGAAGGGCCTTAGATACTCACAGCGCAGGCTCTGTTTGGGACTCGTTCTCTGTACCCCTTCCCCAGGTACCTCCAATTAGTGTCAGCTTTCCTTCTCCCTTTCCTGAAACCATGCTAACATCTTCTGTTCTCTTTTCTATCTTCCCTCTCCCTCCTTCCTATATGCCTCCTCCCCCACAGCCCCAAATTTTTCTACTTGCTTTCTGTTCCTAGTACTAGTTTGTTACATAAGTCAAAAAACAGGAAAAAAATGCATATCTAATATTTTAAAGTAGAGATTCATTGCTTTTGAATTTATACAGTAACACTGGTAGGAGAATGTTCCCAATGATGCTGAGCAAATAACGTGCAGCGGACAGGTAGAACAACTGCGTAAAACATCAGCATGGGAAAGCGAGGTTTAGGGTGAACAAGCCCACTGCTTTGTGATATAGGGTCATGCACATGTCACAGCAGCTTTAGGGATGTAATGACAGACAAAGGATAACCTGATGGGCAGGACAGTGAACTAGTGTAAGGAAGTAGGGACAATAAAGTATAAACTAATAAAAACAGATTCAATCCAATAGTGTTGTATCAAGGTCAACCACTTGGGAAGCTCTGGGGGACAAAAAGATGACTCAGTTCCCTCCCTTGGGTCCTCAGGATTTGATGGGCAAAGCCTCTGAAGCACGATGACTACAGTGTGCTGAGCAGGTCTCCTCAGCCCATGATCAGGGATGGTACCAAGGACAATGCTGTTCACTCTGTGGTGGGTGTCAGGTAATGTCTCACAGAAGGCAGCACATTGAGCTGCAGGTACTGATGGGTACGCAGACACTGGGCTAGCATTAAGTGGCACCAAACACCAAAGTACCTTCTTACAAGAGCATCACAGTCTAGGATCTGAGAGAGAGGGAGGCAAGAGTATCCTTAACACATTAACCAAGCAATGAGGACCAGCACAGGAGGGAGTCTGTACAAGGGTAGAGTGATCCATCATGTTAAAGATTTTATGGACAAGCAGGAAATTTTCACTGGTAACTAGCTAAAAAGCAGTTAATGGCATATCAGTGAAGGACAGAGGCAGAAGGCCAGGGACAGGGCTGAAGGCTTCAAGTGTTCTTCTTCTTCTTCTCCTTTCTTTCCTTCTTTCTTCTTCTTCTTCTTCTTCTTCTTCTTTTTTTTTTTTTTTTTGCAGCGCTGGGGATAGAACTCAGGGCCTCATGCATGCTAGGTAAATGATCTGTCTCTGAGCCACACCCCTGGCCCTGAAAAGATAAATTATCTCACCTACCCAAGGAGGGCAGGGACATGGCCCATTACTATTTTCAAACCACCTCAATATGACATTAGGGCACTCATGAATGCTTGGTCTATAATTGAAAGGGGAGGCTCTCCCTGCTAGAAGCTGGGTCAGCCTTCCCTTCTCTCAGAGCTGGTTTTCTCTACCATGGCCCCAACTCCATCATGCCTTATACAACATTATTAACCTATCAGAAAGTACATTTAGAAAACTGTCACTTAAATAGGATTTTAGGAATGTAGGAGCTTCAGGGATATTCCACGCTAGCCAACTCAGGCTCACTTCACAAAAGGCATTCTTTTGGCATGGGTTGTAAGTAATCACATTCCATAACCACAGGGGAACAAGGGCTCAGTCCCTCAGCAAGGGTCCCACCTGTCTTGCTGTCTGTCCGCGGGTCCATGATGACAAACTCTGGCCGTAGCTTGCTGATACGCCGCCCCTTCAGGATGGGCACGAGCCCGCCCAGGTACTCCAGATAGAGGGTGTAGCACGGGCCGCCCACCTCCGGGTCGTCCTCTGTGCGCTTCATGGTGCAGTGCAGCCGCTCATTGCCTGCTGAGGGGTAGCTGACAAAGTCTCGCATGTTGTTGGGGTCTGGAATTGGGGGCTAGAGGCAGGACACAGGCAGAAAAGGAAAGAGCTGGGACTCCGGAGACTCACACAGAGAACAGAGAAGGCGTGGGCACATCAGGTAGCTTGGGAAAGGTTAACTATGTGTTATGGAACAGCAACTCACAATTTGTGGGTGCTCATCACACAACACCTAAGCTAGGATCCCACTTGAGACAATTAAATCAGAACCTCTGGGGGTAAGACTGGTTAGGTTGTTTCCTAATATGATACAATACAGCAATGTTGAAAACTGCTGGTGTGGAATCAATGGAAAACATCTAGGAAAAAAAAAATCATGAAAGATTCTAAAACTCTGATGTATCAGTAAAAAAAAGCACCCAACAAATCAATCTGATACTCAGAAGTAGAGATAAAATATAGAAAAGGACCTAGGATACTGAGGACCTGCCCGAGTAGCAGGTTTATAGTCACATGCTGCCTTTATAGTTTCTGGAGGCACAGTCAGTATGAAAGACGGCAGGCGGCTGTATTGGGCCAGGGATCAGGGTAGCGGGGACTCTCCCTCCAGCACAGCAGAGAGGAGAGCAGGCCTAAATTTTGACTGGGTCCAATCCTGCCTCTTCCCTAACTAGCTGTGGGGCAAGTTACTTCACTTCTGTCAGTTTCTTTCTTGGTTTCTCAAGTGGGAACAATGTCAGATTCTGTTTGGAAGTCAGGATGGAACAAAACTGATTTTCACAAAGGGTGGTACAAATCTAGTATACAGTTAGTGCTAAATAAACACTTGCTCCTTTGATCATCAGGGACGACAGGGAGTCAAGCTGGGAATACCAGCATGGACATGAGAGAGGTGAAACTACCATACAAGGCAAAGCTCACTTGGATACTCAGGGAAGTACATGCAGACATGGAAGGACATGGCGCAACTCTGCAGAGTCACACTTGAGCCATTTTTGGACACTCTGGTGAAGCTGGGAGCCCTGTGCATCTTTTCTGATGCCCTCCCCCATCTCTCCTGTCCCTATCCTCCTCTTGGTGAGCAGTGGGTGGCAGAGAGGTGAGGATGGAGAATGGGGAGGGCAGAAGGCTGTACCTTGATGGTGGGGATGAAGGCAGTGGAGAGGTAGGAGCAGAGGCGGGGGGGCAGGGTCAGCTTGCTGACATCCTTGTCTTCTCGCAGGGTGCTGGCGATGGCCTGCTGGCACAGCAGCTGTAGGCTGGACACCCGGTGTTCCACTCGAACCACATACAGGGCTGGTCCTGAGGCCATCAGCAGCCGCGAGTCCCTGTGGCCCCAGCAGATGGAGATGATGGGGCGCTGCAGGCAATGAGAAGAAGACAGTGCTTAAGCTTTTGCTCTTCTGGTGAACAATAGACATCATGTCCAGTGTTCTCAGTAAAATAAAGTGAGCTGACAGTATTGAGAATATTGGTTTTAAGAGCATAATAAAGAATATTAAATACCATATTATGAAAATTGAGCATTTTAATTGAAAAGGAATGAGATCTTTAGGCCAGAGCACAAATAAAGGACTCGAATAATTTTATATTTTTCTGTACAAGCACTGTCTTGTTTAATTTGGTGCCATAAATCCTAACAGCTCTATATAATGGCCCTTCTACTAGCCAGGGCAATCACCCCAGGATGTAGTCATCCATATTCCGTACTGAAGTGCTTGCAGGTCATCAGAATCCCCAAATTACCCAGTGTTGTTTCCCATAGCTCAGGGAGGTGGTGGGTAGGTAGATCTGAAGGCTCTTTCCGTCCATCCCAACAGGCAGCATTTCAGAGTCAACTCAACACTGGACTTGGGGGGCCTGGGCATGTGAACTGGGGAATATTTCCCAGTCAAAGCCTCTTAATTTTCTCAGGAGACAACTGGGAGCACTGTGAGAATTAAAGGACATGGTGGTACCATGGTGCTTCTGGGACCCATCACAATCTACAACCCAGGTATTATTCACTGCTAATCTCCAAGTGACTGGGCAGGGAGGCAAGGGGAAAAGCTCTATGGAAAAGGGAGAGGTGGCAGGGAGAGAGTTCCTGTGGTAGCCTTGCCAGGCGTTTATGGCCATGATTTTTTTCAAAAGGCATGCTGAAATCCAAATATGTATGTTAGAAATGTCTTGAACTGAAAACCCCCAAAACTCAGGGGTGCCATTAGCCAGGCAGGGAAGAAAGAGGTAGAGAGCTGTGATGGAGAAGCAGCGAGAAATGTGTTCATTCCCATCCAAACAGATGGAGCACTAATTTAATGAAGTCTCCAGGGGGTTCAGAAACCAGAAATGGGAATACCAGATCTTTTATATGAATGACAGATAGGAACAGAATTCACAACACTTTAGTGACAAACATCAAAATAAAAGAACACATGAAGACACTTCCTTAAAATAACCTCCAGGGTCAGCTAATCCTGGTTTCAACTTCAAAGCAAAATGCAAGGCTGAGGATAACTCATCTTGCATTTCCATCCGTGAGGCCAGGCAGTCCCAGGATGGGACAAGATTAACAGCCAACACCCCCAACTCCCTAAGGAGGACTGAGTGATTGCTGGCTGTGGACCTAGAACCCAAGTCTGGGGGTTTCTGAAGCATGTTCAAGCTGGGCCTCCTCATGAGATGATCCTACCCAGAGGGCAGACCCCATAACAGGGGACTGTGAGCTCACAGCAAGGCACAACCACTGCTGAAAACCAGGACACCAACACAAAAAATACAAAAAAAGTCTCCGGCACCATCAGCTCTGTAATTGCAGGTTAGAACAGAGGCCCTATCAGCACCAGCACCAAAATCTGAACCCAGGACCTCCCTACTACATGATATACACACACCCTACTACTGAGGTACATCTCCAGCCCTCATGCTTAATTTTTTTTTATTTACTTTTTTTTTAATATTTATTTTTTAGTTCTCGGCGGACACAACATCTTTGTTGGTATGTGGTGCTGAGGATCGAACCCGGGCCGCACACATGCCAGGGGAGCACGCTACCGCTTGAGCCACATCCCCAGCCCCCTCATGCTTAATTTGAAAGGCAAACTGCTGCCTCTTTATTCCTGAACCCCTAAAATAATATTCCGCATAGAGCTCAAGGCATGAAAACAGTCCTCAATCATCACTTGACTCACTGCAGCTGGCTGCAGACATGAAACACTTCTCCAATCTTCCATTCCTCTTTCATCAATTGATCCATCTGACATGCTGGTGGTTACAAAGCAGGAACTGCAGATTTATCCTCCCTTCTCCTAGTTCTGCTTGTCAGAGTAACTATCTCTGTTGAACAGCTGATTATATGTTTTATATACAATTATCATGGGTAAGTATGTATGTCTTTGTGTCAAGAACTACTAACAGACTCTCAAACTGGATGAAAATCCTGTTACATTTCCACAAATAATCACTTCCCATCATAACAAAAATAACCATGTCTTCAAAACTTACCACATTCCAGTAGCACACAGAGTGCCTGCACATACTCCCTCAGCAGGTCCTCTCAACTCGGCTACACAGGCATTATTAACCCATCTAACACAGGAGGAAAACAAGGCTGAGGAGGCTGGGTAACTCAATCACAGCTCAGGAGTGGGAGAGCTAGGGCTCATCTCACCAGCGGGTGCTGCCTCTGAAGTGTCAGTATACCCACGCTTGGACTAAAGAATGTGCACTGTTTCCTTGCAAAACTCAACTAACTGCCAGTCACAGATGCGGTGATGAGTCCATTATTCTCCCCTAGTCTGTTTTGCTCAGAAACAAACCAAACGATGTCTATGGAAAAGGCAAATGGACAAGAGAACAGACTTTACCAACAGAACATGGACAATGACCTGACTGGTTCACTTATGGCTGAAAATAAGCCGCAGATCATGTGGGCCAGCATGCAAAGACAAATGACTAGGGAGTATTGGTAGATAAACTGGAAATAGCAGAAGGATGATATGCCTGGATGGTGAGGGAGGCAGTGCTATTCCGAACTGGGCATCACACGAATGTGAAAAACAGATCCCTCAGTCAAACAGGAGTGTGAGGTCTTCAAAGATTAAAGGACAGAAACCAGAACCCAGGAAAAAGAGCTGAAATTATTTAGACTGGACAAATAACACCTACAGGGTTTCAAGGGAATCATTATTATCTGGATCAAGGTTACCCCCAAATTCCTCCTTCTAAGAACAGGACATGGATACCAACAGGAATTTAAATTAATTTGGGGTGCAGGACTCATTCATTTATCCAARTTCGGGATGGTTTACTCCAGCCTGGGGGATACATTAGTTTTTGTAGCCTATACTCCTATGAAATGATAAAGTAGCTAAGAAAGTGTTAATGCCTTTCCTCTTGTGATTTTTAAGGTTGTATCACAAAAACACAGGGAAGAAATTACAGATAATAAAAACTGTCCCTCTAGTGTGAAGATTTCCAGGTATCATCTGTGTGGGGAAAATTAATTCTTGTGGTTACCATTTAGTCAGATGTCAGGCAGCAGGGACATGACCTCTCAGGATCCCCATAAACCTGTCCACAGAAAGTCCCTTTATAACACATTGTCTTTCATTTTCAAAATCACATTTCCCAGCCTGCTAGGCTCATGTTACAAATACGCTGCTGCTTTGGAAGCAGTCAGATTTCAGACACAGGCATTCAGTCTTGACTCGGCAGCCATCATTTTCTGTCACTCTGTCCTCTGGGCTCAGCCATTCTGGCAGAGCACGAGCCCACAGACCTCACCACACAGAGCATCCTTCCTCCTGAGGAATCTCACCTGTTGGGATAAGCTGCTGGAGAGAAATGCACTCCATGTTCCGTTCCAGTAAAACCCTGGGGCATACAAAGGTCCCTCAGACTCATGTTCTAATCTGAAGAGCTGCTATCCGCTAGGAAGAACTAGAAAGCTTGTGGATTTAATCTCTCAAATCACATAAAATGACTGATGGCTAAAACTGTGAAGTTGAAAATGTTAAAATCTTAACTTGTGGGGCTGGGTTTGTAGCTCAAAGGTGGAGCACTCACCTAGCACATGTGAGGCACTGGGTTCTATCCTCAGTACCACATAATAAATAAATACCTACATATATACATAAGATAAAGCTACAAAAAGCCCCTTAACTTGTGTAAAGAGGTTCACGTATTTGGTGCATTGGAGGTAAAAGGGCAAAACAAAACAAAAAAGGAGCTGCATCTAAGAGAGTCAGCAAGGTGGACACTGCTGCTCTGCTGGATCCACAGGAGCTACTGCTCACCTGGGAGGATGTGTCATTCACCACGGCAGGTGCGAGGCACAAGGTTAATGGAGAGTCCTCCTGCCCTGCACCTCCCTCTTTGGATGATGATGCTGAGCAATGTAAGCAGTGGGTGTTAGCTTCCTCTCCCTCTCTTCCTCTGGACAGCAGTATGGACTGTACCCCTGAGTGAGTACTTCTCACGCCTTACTATGGCACCCCATCTCCTGCCACCACACAATACATGCCCTGTGTCAACCCAATCATTTATTCATCTATTGCACCACCAACCAGTCATAAAATAAAATATTTGCCAAATGTATACAATGGACCAGATCCATTCTAGGCATTAGGGGAGCAATGCTGAACAAGACAAAATCTACCCCAAGGGGAGCTTACATTCTGGGGTGGTAGAGAGAAAGAAACATCTTAACATGTTTGACAGGGACGACCTGATAATGTCAGTAGTGAGGACAGGGCGGCATAAGGGACTAGAGAAAGAGCGCAGGGAGCAGGCAAGACCGCTCCAAGGAGGTCCTCTGAGCAGAAGCCTGGCTGAGAGGATGGCATGCATCACTGAACTGGCATCAAAAGTTTCCTTCCAATATTACCAATTTTATATCCATTAGAGCAGTTATTCAACAGTTTTGGAAAGATGTAAGAAAAAAGCAGGTGTTCTTTACATATTAAAAATAAGCTGTCTAAGCAGATTAGAGGCAACTACACTGGCCCAAGCCAGGGATAAGGAGGCAGTCCTGGTAAAGACTCCCCAGATGAGAACCAGCTGCCGAGGTGGTAGAGGAGTAGATCCCTGTGGAGGTCAAAGGCCTCCCCGCCCCCTTCTCCCATGCTTTGTTCCTCCTCTGTGGCAACCTATAAAGGGGGTTCTCTGGCAGGAGGAAATGCACAGAGAAGGGGATATTGCAAGTTTACACAAGCACGTGCACAGAATTCACTTCAGAAACCATGGATTCTGAGGAGATGGAGATGATCAACCTGATCTAAACGTGACACGACACAATGCATAAAGAAATATCCCATGGGACCCATTAATATGTACACTACTTATGTTTTTATGTATCAGTTTTAAAAAATGGTGACTGGT